AGATAATATAGAAGAGCACAAAAGAGTCTGCCCCTCCCTTTTTCACCCAAATTTTTCTTTTTAAAAAAATATTTATTTAAAATTTAACAAACGAAAATATAGACCGAAATACACCATGTACATCAAAAATACACTAAACCCCACACACACACAATTCAACAGAACTATGAACTTAAAAATCCCTTCAAAACAGAGATATTTAATCCACCTATTTGTACAATATGTTACAATTGCATACTACAATCTGTTAATCAGAGGGCAGCACTGCCCTTTATTAACATTTAATTCCAAAGGCATCCTGAGGTTGATGCAATTGATGCCTGGGGTAAGAATGAATGGCACGCAACGCACAGCATACTTAACAGGAATCGGGGTTTGTGTGTGTGTGTCTGCTTGAGGTCCACCTCCCACCCTACGTCTGATCCCACATCTTGGCTCACAGCACAATAACATCTATTATATAGCATTTTCATATACTTTTTCTCATATATTTCCATATGTATATTCATAGCGCAATTAATACAAGACTTTTACAGAACTACAGGCTTGCTTCACGTTTTGAAAAACAAATGCCCCCTTTGATACTGCAAAAGGGCAGCAAACAGCCCCATATTTAAAAAGGTGACAAGGAAGCAAGTTATGGGTCCCTGCATAAAGCGTAGGATAACGATAATTCTTCCTTCTCCAAAGTGCTACACAAGATGATTTTGGTTTCTTGTTGCAACCAGCAAACAGGAATAACCATTTTTCAATATCGGTTCCACAGTAAGACTCGAACTGGAAACGTCTGTCATCGCCCATACACACCCTTTTAAAAGCCTTAAATATTTATGACTGGGAAAATTTTTGTGGACTAAAGATAACGTAACTTTCTTCTCTCAGGACTCCTTCCCACTTCTAAAAATTACACACGGACCCCCCCCCCCACAAGAGCTTTTGTTTGTATGGTTTATATTTATCAATATTTACTTATTAAAAATTAAAATTGATGCATTCGCTGCTGCTACGGCTTCTCATGATTGTTCAGTGGGATTTTAATATTGCATTCTTTTTTAACAGAGGCTGGCAAATCATTTTGATTTCACAAAGCCCTGAGAGCGTCTTGGGGGACCCCCGGGTCCTCAGACCATACTTTGAGAAACACTGGTGTTGCAAATTAGATTTTTAGCCAGGAAACGGTTTCTGCCCGAAAAGTTTCTAGCGCCCTTCAGGGATGCTCTGGGGAAGGCCACTGGAAGCTCAAGCCACCAGAGAGCGGTGGCTAAAAATGCAGAAGCCTACAATTATTAAAATGGCTATTGTTGTTATTATTTTCATAAGGTCCAACCCTGCATTTTACTGAACCCCGCAGAGCTAGGCAGGATTCATATTCTTGCAATGAAAATTCCCAACTGACTTCAGTGGCAGTGGAGGAACAGTACTGTATTTTAATTAATAATAATTTTATTTATATTTATATTAATAATTATTATGGTCATGAGTAGGACCTTTTCCTTGTGTACCACCGCTCGCTGTCAGTCAGGGCCTCCATCATCTGCCCACCTGCTTCTCAGAGAGCCTAATTCCTGCCCCCGGACCAGCCCATCCACTTCCTCCACCTCTCCCGCAAAACCATTCCCACGGCAACCCTGCCCGTGTCAACTCCGCTGCTCAGCGGAACTTCTTTACAGGTGAGGGGACCCTGCACGGCCCGCTCTCGCCGGGACGCCATTCGTTCCCCCTAGCAACAGCCCCCCGCGACGCCTAGCAGCGGCTACCGCCCCCCACCCCTTCCAGGGCGAGACCACACTAACCCACACTCCGGCCTCGGGCGGCGCAGAAAAGCTCGGAGGGCGGGTCTTGGCCGCCGAGCCCCACCCCCGCGGCTCGCGCGCCATTGGCCGGAGCGGCCACGGGC